GATTTTTTGAATTGTACAGGTAAAGCCTAACGTCGCTTTGGTAGAGTGTCATCAAATTTAGGAAATGTATAACCTCCAACAGATTTTTCCCGTAATTTGGTTATTTTCACTCAAGTATTGAAAATTTTTAGAAAAGTGTGCTAGGATTTTCTACATGCTGCCAAAGTATCGCAATTTATTCTCACCGGGCTGTGTAACAATCAACTTATTTTGGTTAGGAACAGGGCCGTTGATTTATTCAAATACAACACAAGCTTTCCAGTGAGACCAATATTGTCGCTGGTGTGGATTTTATCGCAATCGAAGTGAGTTTGTCAGGTGTTGAGTTCTCGCCTGTGTGGATAAGCCGAGACAAGTGCGAAGGAAGGAGTTGGTCTATACCAGTATGTAGACAAGACTGCGGCAGTTGCACGGAGGGTAGCGAGGCGTTCAAATATAGTGTATTGTATTGGAGGAAGCTAAAAAGATGACACCTAGGCGTTGATGTGTAGACTGGAGTGAAGAAAGCGCAAGGGAGGGTGGCGAGGCGTTGCGATATGGTGCAGACTGGAGTGAAGAAAGCGCATATAGTAGAGGAGAGTGGAGGAAGCGTATAGGAGACGGTGTGAGGTAGGTGTAGTTACTTCCTGGACAGCAGTTAACCTTGGTCGAGACAGGAAGCGCTTCACCAGCGCTTGCTTGATAAATAATTCCCCATGCTAAAATTCGACGAGTATGAATAATTTATTGATGAAAGCTGCATTTCCTTCAGTGAATTTACGGTTGAAGGGACAAGATCATAATGATGATGTCTATATGGTCGCGGCAAATTTCAGATTTATCAGGCACAGAAAAACGAAGACGTCTATATAACCTGCACGTCTTTATTTCTGCTGTGTTTAAGGTTTTTACGTGTGAGGTCTTTCTGAAGCTGCTTTTCCGGATTCAGAGGAGCATTTAGAATCAAAGATTTTATTGCCGTTCATTCTTAAGTTACTCACATGTCATCTTGAGCATGGCAGCCTCTTTTCTTCCGAGATCCGACGTCAAGTCGTATAACTGGAGTCAAAATCTAAAAGGATAAAAAGTATTTCTAAATTTTCTTCTTTAATGCGGACTGTGGTATCTCTTAATAACTTTTGCAGTCACTGTTAGACGTACACCACCGACGCCTGATATGATTTTTGTACTTCACACAATACGCGAATAACGAATACGATACCACAAGCCCGCACGTTGCGCTGTCTCCACTTAGTAGGCGTCTCACGTGCAGGCGGAAATTTGCTTACGAGATTTACTGGAGTGACCCCTGGCAATGCTGCCTATAGTCACGCGCATAGAACTGCGACACACGTGTCACCCTGCGTCACACGTGTCACCATCCCGCCCTGTCACACGTGGCAACATCCTGTCCTTGCTACAATCTTTCTTCTGTCTTTACCGCCACATTTTCAATTATTCCTTGACTGGCCTCTTGTTAATCCTATATCTTCACTAATCATTTCCCACAGCTTCATTAGTTCAGGTTAACATATTATTTCATAATTATTGAACTTCATGTTTTAATGGCTTGAAACGTTATATTCCATCTTGAAGTGATATTTCGTTCACATGTTCCGTTTTCAATTCTGGATTATTGTCAGTCATTCAATTGCATGTATTTGAATGACTGTAGAATGCAAAGTTATCTATGCCTGTATTAAGTTAAGAACTTCCACGTTTGTCTGAGTTGTGAATGATAATACCTATTACATTTTATCCAGTTTTAAGTTGGTTTATTTGGCGTTAGTTTATGAACTCGTCGTCAGGCAGGCTGAAGCGACACGATCACTACAGCTGAAAACGTGTCGTGTTATATCAGCCGATGCTTTTGATGTTCATTATTCGCCCACACAAAATGCTTAATTTTTTTGCAGGTCTTTCCGAAGTTCAAGTACTTTTCTTCGTCCATAGCTCTGCAGTTCAAAGTCTGAATGTTTTATGGAGATCAATTTGAAACGTTGTAATTTCTTGATCTGCCTGTCAATTAAAATATTTTTAAGCGCGATAATATTTTCAAGCGCTTAATTTTTTAGCTGTAACAGTGACGTGGCTGTTTGAAATAATTCAAAAGTAAGATTTTTAGGTGTTAAGCTAGGAAATAATTGCTCAAACGAAGTAGGATTACCGGTACTTAGATTTCACATTTTAAAAAATCATTTAGCAACATCTTAAGACATTGCTAAAGTGGTAGCTTAGGAAAAAAAAAGAAGCCGTAAGTGAGATTTCGATTTTGCATCCTTTAGAATTATTTCCGGTTCCCGGGAGTTTAGGCTGAAGCCGAACTATATTCTAGATAACGTGTCTTGAACGTTTACGTTTTATCTCGTGTTCTAATTACTGCGATTTTATGCAAGATTTTAAAGCTTATATAGTACTCAGATATATGATGGAAAAATTAATCACAGTTGCATCATTTTGAAGTGAGACTCATTAGAGTACTCAGCAAGACTGCATACTAACTCAGAATATTTTTCTTGATGGCTGGAAGTGCTACTGGTAACAATTTAAAATTCAATATATTTTTCTCCGTTGAAGCGCCCATATGTTAAACTCATTAGTGATGCAAGTGCACTGCATGTACAAAAAATTTCTGTTGCAAATGAAATAGCAGATAATAAATTACACTAATTACGGCTACTGTTTATTGTTGCAGCGTTTTGAAGCGGAACTTGTCAGTGCAGAACGAAGTTTTAATACGTGGAGGCAGAAATGCCATTTAACGATGGAAAATTTTGTGGCATTTTCGATTTACTTGTTCAAGGTTGCAGTATTGTTGAAGCCGATCGTATTATAATAATACTAATAAAGCATTTAGTGGAATTGTCTTAATTTCGCGTACTTTGGTTGCAGCTTATTATTATTAGTAAGATATTAGGTGTCTATACTGAGAGACTGCTTACACGCACACAGGAGAAGGACGCACCCGCAGCATCCTGCTGTACCGAGCCGTCAGTATGACTTCGGCTGACATGGCGAGTGGTCTGTTGCACCACGACCTCCTGCAGGACTACTACGTCATCTCAAACAACTTCAACGGTTAGTTATGTTATTTATAGTTACTTATTCATAAACTTTCTAAAAGTAATACCTATTAACTTTTTGCGAATGAAGAAATGGCTGAAAATCTCTGTTCTAATTTTGTGTGCGTTGTTTTGACGATTCAATAAGAACTACTTAGTCTACTATGTAAACTTCCAGACTTTTAAATTATTTTTAAACATTGAATTGATATTAGTTACAGCCATTTTATTATATTTTTATACAAGGTCACATGTGTAGAAACTCAATACGTATTTACATTAAGTTTGTGCAATCAGATGAACGCATCCAAATAAGAAATTATTGTTTATTATCAGAAAAAATCAATCCCAATATTATTCACGGTGCATCTATGTATTATGGATAAATTTGTAAAATTATTAATGGTATAACCTGTCCGCAAGCGTAAGTTTGCTCGTGGCTGACGCAAATGAGTGTGGTTGACGGACGTCGTGTTTCCCCGCGCGTGTGCGTTCTTACCGAGACGCGCGCTGCTGCGTGTAGAGCGTGTCGCTGCTGGTCCAGCAGTTCATTGAACAAAAGTTCCCTTTTGACTTTTTCTTGCTTTAGATTTATCCTAGTGATTGGAGATCAGAGAACTCAAATTGTGTGTAAATATTTCGCAACGCTTGATTATATTTCTAACATATCTGCTGATGACCGAATTCTAATTCTACGTAATTCTAAAGCGATTCAAAGTACGGCCTCGTGACAGCGTAAGTAAATGTCTTTCCTTCTATCGTGGAAAACTATCTCGCCTGATAATGACCGATAAGGAGTTATCTTTTGCCACAGTGTCACGCAAGAAAAAATCCTTGAAAAAGCCTTCAATACTTTAAAATTACCTTGCTTACCATAACATCTGACGTAATATTAGCGATAGTCACATATATGACTATCGCTGCTTGATTTGTATGCTTGCGCGCAGACTCTTTATTCGTTCGTTTTTTTTTTTCTGTCGATTTATCGTAAAATTATTCTTTTAGGTTGAAAATGTTTCGGTTGAATGCCGAGATAACCGGCGGTAAATTTATTTACCGGAATTTATAGTCGTGGTGTATTCAGTGCATTATTTAAACAATGATCATATTCCTACAATGAATTCTGTTAGAATTGAAAACTTGCACTCCTAGCAATAAGTCATTCCAAGGTGAAAGTTATGTTAATGGATGAACTCGTCCTGCATTACCTCATTATCTCCGATGACAATTTAATGAGGCACATTGAAGGATCTTTATTATAATTATGTCATATTAATAAATAACTACACTATATTAAAAAGTTCCATATTTTAATCCTGATGAAAATGACTTAACTAATTTATTCACGATTGACTTACGCGTCAGGATTTCAGTGATGCATTTAATTTTCCCAGTTTGATGTGAACAAATTTATGACCCAATGAAGAAGGAAGAGTTGCATGTTTTTGATAGATACTGAGCTATTAAAGTCTTCACATACTAATAAGCTGGGAAGAGCAGTCTCAGAAATTTATTGAGTGGAATATATATTACTTTTTAATGAATTATATCAAGCTCATTATCAATTTATTAAAGTTCATTATGTATAACAGTTTCTTTGAGTGAATGTTTTTAACAATTTGCACTACCCATGCTCTGGGCTTCGATGATAGCCTAAAAAATGCCATTTATTCGTCAAATTTGCACGGTTGCCTTGATATTCATAGTAATAGTCATGCCAATTATTTTTTTGATGAAATGCCGGACAATTTGATGTTGATTTGCTTAGCAAACTAAGCGCACGATTATAAATACCTCCCATACGATGATATATTTTATATGGAGTTCGATAAACAGTGTTTGAATTTGCAGGCGTCAAGGAGATTTAGATAGTTGTCCCGCTTTATGTTTTCGTTTGTTGAGTACATGAACTGAACAACTCATTGAATCACAATCAGCTGATGCTGACGCCTATCGTTACTCATATGTCAGATGACGTCACAACATGGCCGCCGCAGTGTTGTGATTCTCCGCTTTTGAGAGAGATGCGTGCTGTGTCTTTAGACTAATAGATGGTTTTATCAATCAGATATCGCAGTAGGTTAGAAACTAGTAAATATTTCTTACTTGATGACGTCCAAAGTTGCTGAAACGATTGTAGAACTTGAAGAATGTGATACGGATGGCGTTGCTTTATGCTCGTCTAGTACCAGTGCTGGAAATCGAAGTTATTCTATAAATTCCGAAGGGTCTGAAGATTCGGCAACAGCCCCATTGTTGCCAGACGTTACATTTAGTGTTCCATCGTTAGGATCTCAAATGGCTGCTGGTACCAGCAGAGAAAATCAACCTTTACTAGGTGGATCGTTTAGAGAAGAAAGAGATGAAGTTAACACATGGCAAGGTGAATGAAAACAGATTCATTTTTATCTAGGTAACTTATCTTGGTACGAGTTAGTTATTATTTTGTTAACGGTTTAAGAGAATTTTAAAAGAAATTCCTGTTTTTTTTATTGGCTAAAGAAAGAATTTGACTTTCTATCCACTTTTCATGCAATGAACTTATTGTAGCATGAATAGTACTCCTATTAGGTATCCATTGTGGGACTGCCATCAGACTATCAGAGTATCAGTGCTATGACTGCTATCTGCTATGCCCTAAGGATATGCATGCACTTCTAGTCATGCTTTGACTAGATTGATCATTAAGGGGAGCTCGTATGTCCAAAATGATAAATTTTGATTTTCCAGGTTTTAGGCTCACTCTCATTTTAAATTCTAAAGATCCAAGAATTGTGCATTCAAAAAGCTCAAAGCCATGTTTGTGCTTTCATTTGTTCATTCACGACAGCATATTACCCATTTTTTGCAGTTTTCTATGAATTTCATGTTTTATTTTATTATTTAAATTTACACAAACAAAAAGGTCATTGATTTTACATTGTATAGCGTAGGTACCAAGTTTCAAAATGATCCATCCATAAATAAAAAGTTTTTTTTACATACATGTTCTCCTTAAGGGGACCGACTACCTTAAAATTTTCAATTTTGGCGTTTTCCGGTTTTTGAGCTCATCTTGAAGCTGAAATTCTGCTCTTTCCAATGGTACCACTGCCATCGCTGTACGGCGTACGCCAATATTTACATTCATGACATCTCTTTAAAGGGAAGCGGGTGGGAGAGTTCTTTAACTAATTAGATATAAAGTAATTTGCTGCTGAAATCTTTGAATATAGTTTCTACTTGAGTTGTGCTGCAGTTACATGCTTAGTCTCATCTTAAAGCGGACATTCTGAGCTTTCCAACGATACTACTGCGATCCATGTACGTCAATATTGACGCACACGACCGGGCTTTAAATGGGGGGGGGTTCCTTCAGTAAATGGGTCCAAGGAAATTAGAGCGGCAAGACTACATATATTGGTGTATCTTGCATCCAGGCTTAGTCACCCTCCTAACTTTGTACGGAGAGGTGTGCTACAAGTTGCTGCTAGCATCCTTGAGTGGATTAAGCTACAGAAGCCTGTAGTTTGGTATCCATGATACATTGAGTGCCTATTTTGAGGTGCGCGGGACTTTGTCGCGCCGTCCTGAAAAGTTCAACTTATTGTCACGGAAAACCTATCTCCTCCTACAGTTTTCAAGCTACAACAATGAGACATACACCATTCGATTCGTAAAGACCATACCTATCGAACTGATGATCACTTTTTTTAATTTCAGTCTGGTTTGTTTTTTATATGGGGGAGAAGGGGGGGGGAAGGGGTTGAAAAAATGAGAAAAATGGGAAAAACGCGCATACAAAAAAACTAAGGGGAAAATGAGAAATGTGATCATCAAATCTCTAGGTATGGTCTTTACAAACCGAATGATACGTGTCTCGATGTTTTAGGATGATATTTGTAGGAGGAGATAGATTTTCTAAAGTATCCCTTTTTAGCCGTTTTCTATGAATTTCACGTTTTCTATCAATTTTTTTGAAAAATTGATACGAGCAAAATGTTCTTATATTTACATTTTGCATATGTATGTGAAGTTTCATGATGATCGGATAATAACTGTAGAAGTTTTTCCGGAGGGTAGTCGGTCCCCTTAACATGAGCCATGAGATACCATCTCTTCTATTTTAAAAATTGTTCTTAATTCCATGTTACAAGTTAGTGCATTTAACTGCAATTCATGTATTTTTTCAGATGATCCCCAGTTCACGGACCTGGTGCGGCAAGCTGAAGTGGCAATTGATAATGGTATCTTGCCAGAAAGAATATCACAAGGCTCCAGCGGTAGTTATTTTGTAAAAAACAATCATGGTGTAAGTTTAATTTTCTAAAATTATGTTCTAAATTTGTAAAATGTGAATTAATTATTGTAAATAGATATTTCCTGTTTTATAATGCTATATATATAAAACCTTATAGAAATGATGCACCCAATTTTTATTAGACTCTGTAAATAGATTGGATGGCTTCAACTTTTTTTTGAAATTTTGCACCAATTTGAAATTCTCACATTTCAAAATAAATGATTCTGGTTAAAGCTAAAATCTGATGATTTGTACTTTGATAACTGACAAGGTCTGTTATTAGCCGTGTGGAATTCTAGGATAGTGCATTAAATTGCTCTCATTTTTAAGGGAAGCATTACAATCTGTACTGTTGTTGACTGCATCCATTCCAGACTGTTATTGGTTGGTTGGATTGTGATGTCATCCACTCCAGACTGTGATTGGTTACATGATGGCCTTTCCAATATGCTATGTGTACTGGCCAATTTAAAACCCTTCTAGGATTGCATACTGGATACTAAGTTGTGATTTTATGAGATAGCTTGCACAATCCCCAAATGCGCTAAAGAAAGAAAAATGTATTGTTTCTATTTTTAGGTTAATATGAGATTTCAACACAATGACTATGTTATTTATTGAACGAGTTCACAGCTCAAAGAGGGTTTTCTTGGTTAGAAAGTATATATTTTCCAGTTTGGCTCTAAATAAAACACACAAGAACAATTTATGTAGGTACTTGTGCGATTTTTAGGGCATATATGTTCAAAAGCTCCGAATTGATAAGTTATAAGGAACTAATCTTTAAATTCTTGTTTATATACAGGTACATAAATTTTTCAAACAATGCTGTGCATGGCAGTTTGGCTTTAGTTTAACTGTTGAATGCAGTTGAATTGAGCCTTGGGTATATGCATGAAATATTCCAAAAAGAGAGAAGTGAGAAGATGTATAGTCAGATGGGGTAAGACAGGACCAAAATCACTAACAAGCCTGTAGCATCTATATCATGAATAACTAAAAAACCCTAAACCTATCACAAGGTGTATTTATGCAATGGGCTTCTAAGTTACAACTCAGACGTTTTGCATCTAACATAGTTTTCTGTAAAGATTAAAAAAAGTGAGCTGGTCCCCTCTTACCCCGATGGGGTAAGATGGGACCAGGCTGGGGTAAGACAGGACCAACTGGTAATTCTTATGTTACAAGGTTTTTAATAAAAGTACAAATCTGATGTATTCAATATTGTCCATCTAGAAACACATTATTTGATTAAGCAACCACTTGTTACTGTTTTGTGTTGTGGGAAGTCAACTCTAATATCAGTCACATTGGATTTTTGTCACGAGAAAACTTTGTTAAGTATAGTAATAGTGAGTTGGCTTTGGTTCATTGTAGAGCACTGCTAAATGCTTCATGTATATTCCATTCGTGTCATTGTCTGAAAAATTTATCGAATTGTTAATAAAACCAATGGATAATAACTCAAGTGTCAGACGTCATGTGTTTTCTTGCTGACTGCATTTGTGGTGCACTTCTTCAAACATAGCTCATGCCCTCTCACAGAGTTGTGATCATAATTATTTTTCATGTTTCACACAATGATTTTTCCCTCTGCCAATCTTGCACATACTAGTTCTGCAGCTCACTAATGGGAAGAGACATCCCTCTTTTCTATATCCATTTGATGCAATTTAAAATAGGGCACTAAATTTCTCTACTTAAACAAGCTAACAAGTTATAATGAAGTTTGAGCAAAAGATAAAAATTTTGACCAAAATACTCCATGTACTACACAATAATATATTCATTTAGAAACTCTTGTTGATAAACTATGGGGATAAGAGAGGACCATTTGTGGGGTAAGACAGGACCATTTGTGGGGTAAGATTGGACTGCTTGTGGGGTAAAACAGGATCATTTAGTGGTCCTGTGCTACCTCATGTTCAGTCCTTTTTTTACCCCATTTTAGAATAGATGTCAGGCAGTGATGGTAGTGGGTAGGAATGCCTAGTAATATGTCTCAAAAGTTGCCTATTACTTGAGGTTACCTGCCTACATCCACAAACCTGACCAAAAAATTTTTTGTCATTGTTCAGAGCTTATTTCCCAAACAGGGTTAACTATTTTGTGACCCTTCTTTACATAGGTTTTCTTTAAAAATTAGCCAGAAATTCATTATTTGCTGAAGCGGGTTGAAACAAACACTGAAATGACAGGCAATGATTGCTCTAACATATTCTTTTGTCAAATTAATTTCAGTGCAATTAGAATGCATGCCATGGGCTGATCCTTTCTTACCCCATGAAGCCTGCGATCCTGTCTTTCCCCATTTGACTATAATTAGCAAGAGAAATGTTGAGTTACTGCAAGTTGTTTAATAAATTCAAATGCTAAAAGTTTGTGATTCTTAATTTCAATGAAAGTTTCTGATCTCTTTCGTAGTAAATAAAGCTTTCTGTAATATATTTATTTATTATTGAACTTATTGAGGCCTCATTATTCGTTTGATGACATTTTTGGAAAATTTTCAGACCATCATAGGAGTATTTAAGCCCAAGGATGAAGAGCCTTATGGTCGCCTCAACCCCAAGTGGACTAAGTACCTGCACAAGATTTGCTGTCCGTGCTGCTTTGGCCGATCATGTCTTGTCCCAAACCAGGGATACTTGTCAGAAGCAGGAGCTTCTTTAGTAGATGCCAAATTGCATCTCAATGTAGTGCCTAAAACTAAAGTAAGTTCTCTCATTATATATAATATATTCATTTGTGCTGTGAAACTGTGATTATTAAAATCGGATTTATTCTATTCCAAGAACAAATTTCTAAAATAGGCAATCCTATAGTACAATACCTACAGAATTGAAATTTTGAACATACTATCAATTAATGGCTGCGATTCTATACTTTATTTCTCAGATGTTAGCACTTTAAATGGGAGATTAGTGATAGGTTTTTAATTATTTATCTAGCTCCACTTGTAAATACAATGTGGTCCTACATTTCCCCAAGTACCATATTTATATATATTTGTAATTTATTTTGACTAATTTAAAATATTTCAGCCTTTCATTCTGTTTATGTGATTGTTGTACAATGGTGTTTGAAAATGGCTGAAAATCTATTTTGTTTTCCTCACAGGTAGTAAAACTATCTAGTGAAACCTTTAATTATACAAGATTCGACCGCGAGAAATCTCGTGCGAAGAAGATAGTTTCAGAAAGATTTCCAAATGTTGGTCGTCACTTCCACAGAATTGGATTACCTAGGAAAGTTGGATCACTACAGACATTTGTTGAGGTAAGTGGTTTCAAGATCTGTAGATCAAACGTACCTTTTAAACTTATGATTTATTTTACGAGACAGTAATGCTTGTCTTTTTGAGAAGCCATTTGAATGATATGTGAAATAATTTTAAATGTTTTTTTTTCAAATTGATCAAAGCCTCACAAAGTTTTCAACCGGTAAGGCTTGTCAGGAAAGAGTCTCTTTATCCAGTAGTTCATCTCCAAATGGTAGAAATCAATGTGACAACATTATTGTCTAATATTGGCTTGATATTTCTTTTCATAGCACTAGTTAGTCTTTTTCTTCAATGAATGATCTCTAACAGGGCTATAAGGATGCAGATTTTTACTTACGTCGGTTTGAATCTGAACCTCTGCCTGCTGAGTTGGCTAGTCAGTTCCAAAGGAGGTTCGAGAGACTCGTCCTGCTGGATTACATCATCAGAAACACTGATCGAGGCAACGACAACTGGCTCATCAAATATGAGAAACCTGACCTCGTTGAGAGCCTCGATACCAACGATATAACCGTAAGTGCTCCGATGCTTCCATTCATTACTACGCTTTTTAATTGAGGATAATTTTTTTAGTATACTTTTTAAATTGAGTATAACAGATATGTATTTGTCTTCAGTTACTGTGTGCAGCGCTAGTTATTGACCTTGTTCTGAATAATGTTTGAAAATAGACGCTAAACTTTGGTCAGTATTTTACCACCTATGTTGAGAATAGTATCTGGCTTCACTGCTTAGCTGTTTTGCTCCTCTGATATACATTTGATCTCCGATTACATGTGTTTACTGATGCATTACGCTTCATATTCAATTGAAAGTTGGAGCGCCGGTGTTGAGATGCTTACCAAAGTGGGATCAATCAAACGATGTACGTAGTATTTGTAGGAAGGAGAAGCAATCATTAGTCATTATGACTGTAATATAGATGAAATATTCATAATTAGCCGGAATAAAGCTTCACGTATTGCTGACCCGTAATTAACCCGGACAGGATTGGGGCCTCGTGAACCGCGGCAGCATCGACGTGGCGGCTATCGACAACGGCCTGGCGTTTCCGTTCAAGCACCCGGACTCGTGGCGCGCCTACCCCTATCACTGGGCCTGGCTACCGTGGGCCAAACAGCCCTTCTCTAGTGAGACCAAAGAACTCGTCCTGCCCCTGCTGTCCGACATGAACTTCGTGCAGGAGCTCTGTGATGACCTTTTTAACTTATTCAAGGTGAGAGTTCTGTAATGACATACTGTATGTGACTTAGTAAGGTGATAGTTCTGTGATGACCTTTGTAGCTTATTCAAGATGAGTGCCGGTAATGTTCTCTTGAACTTCAAGATGGGCATTTGAGATGCGTGATGGTCACCTTCGGTTGATTGAAATTCTTGCAGGCTCCTTAATATTACATTTACTGGGCAGCAAGACCTGTAAATCAATCATCTAATGTAATGAAGCACTCTTATCATATTCATGGTCTTTTCCTCTTCTTTGTCTTACATGTCACAATTTTATTTATTAAGTCCAGAACAAATCGTGTACTTTATTCTTATTTTGAATCCATTTTAAATAGGGCAGAATTCTACTGAGAGCCGTAGCAACTTGACAGAGTTAGTGACCCTGTCTAATGTTGGTCTGCGTTACAGACAGACAAAGGCTTCGATCGTCATGTCTGTGAGCGCCAGATGTCGGTGGTGCGCGGTCAAATCCTCAACTTGACTCAAGCCTTGCGAGACAACAAGAGCCCCGTGCAGCTCGTCCAAATGCCGGCCGTCATAGTTGAGAGGTACGCAATATAGCTGTGCCTTGGGTACCAGTGCACTTTCTTCAATTAGTGGCATTTTTGTTGGTGAATAGCAAAGCATCAATAATTCTTCATCTGTATAATAGAACAGCGATTGGCAACATCCTGGATTTAACATATTTTGTGGACCAGGGAATAATAAAATCAGTGTCTGTCAGTATTTTTGAATTTATTTAACACTTCTTAAATTTTATTCTATTGCGGCATTATTTCGTAGGTGAGAGAGATGTTAGTGAAAGTTTTCCGTCATTATGCGTGAAAGTTATTTTCTTGGTGTATTTCATTGTTTATATACCCAGTTTTGAAAAGTATAGCATTCACCTGCTTCGTTTTCTTATTAGTTCTGCTGATGTACGACACTCGTATGATATCACTTGCAGACATTCCGATTTTCTAATTCTAAGTTTCTTCACCTTAATATGATCATCTTTTTCCGCAGATCAAAAGGTCGTGTGGGGACAACTGCTAGATTCAGGTCGTTTAGTGACACCTTCACGCAGTCATTCCAGGAGAAGAGTCCTTTCTTCTCGTGGTGCTGAGCCACAGGGGCACTGATGTGTATGCCAGTAGCCTTGACTGCAGTCACTCGTTTCTAAGTGGAATTAGGAACAACATTTCTCATTGTAGTTTGGCATTTCGAGTTCTATTACCATATTTGAATTTAGGGATTCAGATTATTGCAATGATTTTTTTTTTCAAACGGGGAGTTCTGTGTTTCTGAAAAAGTTTTTTTCTCCTTCTCTTAGCCATGATTTGTTTTGCTAAATTGCTCCTAAACGGCATTCATTTGCTTCAGCAATAGACTCGTACTGTTTGAGGCTTATTTTTCTACCTAAGTTATGTCATGGGTAGCTAGCTATGTAGCCACTCAAGTTTAGCCATCGACTGTTGTAAGTTGTAACCAAATTGAAATTCAAGAATAGTTTACTGTGTGACTAAGAACAGCAAGGATTCCATCATCCTACTGCAATTCGACGGGATCGACAGTTATTTCATTGAAGCAGAGAGTAATTTTTTCTATTGTTTCCCATATTTTGCTTTCTCATATATTTGCATTATGTGGAAAAATAACCATGTGAAGTTGATTTATGTCAATAAATCGTAATTCTTCAATTTATTCATTTTAGCTCATTATGTTAAATTATCGGCTTTGATACTGTCTTGTGACGAAACCGTTGTTTGATATTTTACCGCGCTTCTCTAAGTCATGTAGATATTAATTAGTTTAAACTGAATTGAATTTGACTGCAGCTTTTTCCTTAGTTCAGAATGAAATATTTATAATGTTTGCTTTAGGAACGTCACAGAGGAGATATACGCGTTTAAATTATATATTTTCATACAATAACACGAAGCCCTCGTAGAATTAGGTGACAACATTCCGCTAATGAAGTTTGCCTTGTTGGCTAGGCATAATCAAATGCATTCGTTATTACTCGTTCTCTATTTTACAGTAGATGCTTAGTTTTTTGGCTGGTACGACGAAGAGAGAATATTGCACTCAACGAGCCGAAACCTGTAGAGTTCTGTGAATTTCGGTTGATATTAATATTTATGTTCGCTTCTCAATTGTATCGCTACTTTAGATTTTGCACTTCTTTCAATATTTGCTTACTGGTTCGTCATAAATTGCCGTTTTCTTTCGAGAACTTCTATTTGTGAATTTCACTGCGTATTCGATAAAGAGGTGATCTAAACAGAAACTTTTCTCCCTTTCATTTCGCGCATCGTCCCATTTCATCACCAATTTTGGCGCTCCTTCTGATAAGGCTTGGCGATTTTCCTGACTGAAACTGAACTCGCAATACCATACGGTTACTATTTATCTTCAAAACTTGTCTTAATCTGCAATGGTGAATCTACTTCTGTATTCGTAATTGTTGAGCTGTATTCGTTAGTAGTTTTAGTTTAACCCATATTTTTGTGATAAAAATGTCAAGATCTTTTCTATGTAAGGCGAGTCGTTATTTGTTGAGTGAAAATATTGTCCATGTTTTAGAAAGTCGTGTAATCGCTTGACAGTTGAAAATAAGCAATTTGAATAATTTTTAGATCATTGGATTGATATCCTCTTTACAATCTCTAGGTAACGAGATAGCGTCAATAACAAACGTTCACCGTGTCTGAAATAGAATTTGCCAACGACAGTACAATCGAGTTTCGCTACTTGATATGATGTCCTGCATTTTTACTGTATTAGTTCCAATAAGGCATGTTTCACTGCCGTCAAAGAAGGACGTTATCGACTCAGCTTAGTTCACAAAGTTATCAGTTGATTTTTCCTATTCCTACATTTCAACTGATACGTCAGAGATCCGAGAACACTTCAAAACCTTAATTCCGAGAATATTTTAAACCTTGTGCTTTTTTGCAAAGAGTAATTGAAGGTGAGTTCACAGTTTTCGGTAACAAAAGCGACATCAATAGCAACTTTGACATTGTTACTACATGGTTTTGAGCTGTGACGAAAAATTGTACTAGCTCCGCTGACTTTCCCGATGCAAGTAAAATGTATTCGTGCGAGTAGCGTTACAAATCTGCATTCATTTTATAGTGCACCCCCCAAAATATTCAAGGAATAATTGAAAAGAAAATCTGTAAAATAGTCTTATTATGCCAGTTGCAGTAACATTTCAATGTTCAATTAGCTCAATGACTTCGACAACCAAGAAATGAAATTAGTACACCCGTTCTGGGATCTTCGTCAACACTCTTCTTTTGCCATCGGCCTCCACCCCTAGTATGCTCGATCAGGTCAACCAATTTACATCCAGAATGTTTTCAGCAACTGGAACTTTCCGTTCATGTTAAACTGCGACAAACATGTTGAGCAATTTGCACTATCGTTTGACCTCGTAACAACATTACTCTAATATTAGGCTCGTCACGATTGAATGGATGATTGATAATTACTGACTAGGAGAGAAAAATAATGTAATATTGCATCTAACCTAGGAGCATCGTCCTCTAATTTCTATACAAGACGGCACCCTTTTAAATGAACAGATGGGATAAAATATACATCCGCGAGAGATGCAAAGACAGCTAAGCAGAGAGATGATCGAAGTCCGACACCGCGACCATGGGCACATGGAGGTCGTCTATTACCGGGTTGGATTTGTTATCGCACAACCCGACCTCCTTCATCTTCCACTCCCAGTCCATGCGGTGGACAGCGTGCAGAGACTCGGCTTCGTTTTGTTGCCGCAACACCATGCTCTCCTGACAGTTGAAAGCATCGTAGTGAAAAGCACATAAATCTATATGATATCACAATTTTTGCATTACAAAATATGATGGATAGCGTAAACTTCGTGCATTAAAAATATCTTACCCTGATTTTTTCCCATTTATCGTCGACATCCTGGAGCCAGGAATTGAAGAGTCGCCCATTGAATCGAGAACGAGCATTTCGATGCTTCTCCTCTTGTTCAGGAGTTAAGACATTATATACCTGCGCAACACATATGAATATTAAATGTTCCATATTCATCCATGAAAATGTTCTATATTCAATGAAAAGCATCATTTCGAGCAACTGGAATATACAAAACTGGTGAAAATATAACCAATGAACTGCATCACGGGAACGTGTTAAATAGAGAATGCTGTTGCGGCATGAAAAATCTGATTTAGATCAATACGTCACACTCGAGATGAAATTATGTAGATAAGAGTATTCATTTCACTAAAGGTATTCATCCCCTGCATTTCGACATTGTTAGGGATATTCCTATTGAAACGGCTTCAGCCGACCTATCATGAGCGTAGTTTAGGGCTATGGAGGTGCCTCGCGATTTGACATTTTACTTCTGCACTTTCAAGATGCATAAAACTAATAGTGTGGCCAATTCAAGAAGTGTGTTGATTTCAGTTCCAAATCATTAGTCGTAAAGTACGAATCTAAAAATTCGGCATTGATAAGAGTTGTTAAAACGCTCGGTATCATCAAATTAGTTCTCGTTTCAAATTTAGAAAACTATATTTATTTTATATTTTGTATTTCAACTTTTATTGACATCGTTGATAGATGAACGTCAGATAAGGGAGTTGCGATGAGCCATTGTGTAACTTGCAATAGAGAAATAGCTGCTAAAACAATAATTTATCCCTAGCCTCCTATATTACAAGAAATCTTAATCAAAGTTACATTCACAGAATTATTTCTATTGATCAGCAATGAAATTATTAGCGAAAAGAAATAAAATGTTAGCAGTAAACTAACCTCCTGATCCCTAAGTATATTGCAAGCGCTGAAAGGAAGCATTTGGTTGGCAAGGGCGGCAGCCCTTCTGCCATGCACTCTCAGAATCTCTTGCTCTACACAAAGTGCCATCTTTTCGCGCTCTATCTGGTGCTGTGAACACAAAAAAAAAATAAGTTACACATGATCACATCTATTAGTAGTTTTACAAAGAAAAAAAAGCACTAGTGAACTTACGATTAATGTCATACATAAGGTGAAGATACTCACCGTATCCATCAAGGGAAACTTTACTCTCGTATCAAATATTCAGAAAAATTGTTGTGTAACAAAAAATGTCGATTCATCCCTATTTAAAGGAAATAAAGAATGAATATGACATATTATGCACAGAAAGCAACCAACAGTCCAACACTCACCAGAAGTCTAAGCTTATGCCTGGCACGTTCCTGCTCAGTGAAGAGATCTTTGAGCGGCTGAGGCAGAGAAGCTGGCGGGGTCATGAGCGGCACGGACTGTTGAGAGGCAGGGTTGCCGGCCAGCACGTAGGTGGCTCGGTTCATGAGGTAGTCTTTGAAGCCCTGCGGAGGTATGGGTTGCACCGGGAACAGCAGTTTGCGGCGGTCGTCGATCTGCACAATTAAATTTATCGATACACCGATGTTTAATTTTCTAAAGGAAAAGGTTGAAATACATATATTGTTCTTTAAATACTCGAAAATTTGATGTCAGAAAGATCGTTGAGGTCTAATGATGAAACTTGTCAATACATTGTTTTCGAAATGCTGTAATTTATGGCTTTCACAGAATCGTTCATTGTCCATAATTCAGAAATAAGTAGATAAGTTCGATTCTAATCAGAAAATATTAGATAATTCAGAAATAATTGAATAATAATTTATAAAAATTTACCTGCTTCCTGATGACTAGAAACATTTGATAACAATTAGACAGCGGTAGCTCAGGAACCGAAGGAGGTGGAGGAGGGTCAGAATCTTCTTCTTTGATGTTAATTTTTCGTTTGCGAGGATGCACGACTTCAGTGGTGCTGCTGCTGGATGCCGCGGGAGCGCTGTTATTACTAGTGCTACTGCTGCTTGCAGAGACTGACGTGGTAGCGGTGAGTGGTGTTGTAGTTGCTGACGATAATGTTGCGGGCGTGGATGATATTGAAGTGACAGCTGCTTCCTCGACTTTCACTTCTAGTTTGACTGCAAAATGTATATCAGATTAGCCTCAAATCTCGCGTACTATGAAACATTTAGAATTTGTGACATGAAAAATTTCTAATAAGGGATTTACGAAATAAACTTACAATGAGAACAATTGGGAACCCTCGTGACACGAAAAACATTCGGTCATATAATAAATGTGATATGAAGACTCACCACTCGCTGCACTGCCAGCTTCATCTGTGTTACTCCTTGTGGAGCGGGTGATGCGTGTTGCGCTCTTCTCACAGCCCCCAGGACTCAGGGGCTCCTCCTGCAAAGCAAACAAATTAATCACACTAGTAGCGACGAGAATTATTATTTTGACGCAGGAAAAACATATTCAAAGAAAAATGAATACAATTTTCAGTAGGCCGAAGAATGTCACGAGACTAGCAATATATAAAATAAAGATGGGTAGTGCGTAATTCTTCTATATACATGTGTGCATTATCACGAATTTAAAACTCATACTTTTGAATATGGTCTTGAACTCGAATGGACTTGCCTAGAAGAGAATAAAAGAATGCTTTTTTATTGGCACAGAGTTGATCTCGACCTTCACAAAATCGCCCACCCACCTTAACTAACGGCGAGAGGTTGTCTTTAGAGTCATGGGTGGAATTATTTGAAGCAGTACTGCTGCTTGTATGTGCACTGCTGTTATTTTCTTCTTTAATATTGATGTGGTCTTGGCCGGCGTTCGAAGAGCTGGACACCACGTATGGCAAATGACGTCCACTGCTACCGCCATTACCGTTACCATTTTTATTTCCTCCATTACCACTCTGTTGGCCTGCGGATTCTTGATCAATACCACCTGATGACCCCGAGCCGCCCGTGGTGCTGTTTATGCCGCTATTGGGATTATTATTATTGCTGTTATTTCCGCAAGATGACAGAACTATCTTTAAAGGAGGTACTTTCGGACTGCTGTTATTGTTGTTGCCGTTTGAGCTGTTGCCAGTGCTGCTAGAGCTGTTAGTGGAATTGGGAGCATCTGATCTAGAGCAATTTTCTTCGTCAGCTGCTTCGTCACATTTTTCTGTGGTAAAAACATTTTAGTGGGCAAGGGGGTAAAAAGAACAGAATTCTTTAATAACATGGAAGTGTCATTTTAAATCATGCATCGCCATTTAAATATACACACAAGAATCAAGTTAAAATTCTTGGTTATCTGAAAGTAGTTCAATAATCTTGACAGGCATTAACCTTGCTTAATAGAAGACTTCGGGCTGCTGGAGCTGGTCTGTGGACTCTTCCTGTTGGTGTCCTGAGAAGTAGGAGGGTCGACAGCAGCTAAGGCACCGCCACTGGTGGCTCCCAGGATGCTGCTGTTCTTGCCCGAGTTGGCAGTGTAATTGGGGCCGCTGTTCGATGAGCATGAACGACTAGAGGGCTTGCTGGTCTTCTCTCCTGAAAAAAGGTGCTTTGTTAGACATCCGCGATGAGTTCCTCAACTTTGTAAACTTTGGTAACTGACAGTGGGAAAATGAAACTTAGGATTCTACCTCTATAAAAAAAATTAACTTCACCCTACATGCAATATAATTGTAATTGAGGAAAATGCAAGTTAAACCGAATGTTCACAGAGAATGAAACGTCTCAATAGGCCATACTTCTTACCTTTACCAGCATTCTTGGATGGAGTTACTGGTAATTGGTCCTTCACTTCTTCCTTCCTTTTTCGCTTCCTAGCAGTCTCATCTTCATCGTCATCGATGCTCCGTTTTTCTCCCCGTTCTTCCCCAGCTGAATCGTTCTTCCCAGGAGTGTGGGGCTTTGATGAAGATTCTTCCTCTTCTTCATCTTTGTTGCCGCTTGACGGAGTTTCATCTTTGGTGCACTTAAACTCATATGGATCGTCGCTCGAAGCTCGGCCCTCCGTTGATCTAATGAGAAAATTTAAAATGACTGTGGATATCAATGGTAACAGCACAGCCTAAAACAAGAACTAGGCAATGAGTCATGTTAAGTTAGTTAGTTAGTTTAGTGACCCTATGATTACTAGCGCTTCAGCTGCTAAGCTATCTCGCGCCGAATGTCACGTTGGGCATTATGGGCTAAGAAAATATTGCATCACATGTATTCAGCGTTGACCAGATCATATACAGTCGAACATGTTTATTGCTCTCAGGTACTCCACGAGGCGGTCAACATTATAGCTACCGTGTTCCGGTTGGGCCAAAATACTTTTTAGGTGTGTGTTGGGGTCGTTTTGGCTTAGATGGGGGAAGAATTGCCGTCGGGCCACACCAAATGATGGGCACTCACAGAGGACGTGGATTATGGTCTGAGGCACCAAGCAATCCATGCAATAAGGTGCAGGCGTGCCTTCCANGGACTCTCCACCCGAGCCACTCGGCCATGATTGCATCTGAGACCGCACAGCCTCGGGTCTCATCGAGACACGCAAGCCCCCCCCCCACGACAAGGGCGAGATGGCACGGGGGGGGAGTCATGTTAAGGCAAACTTATGTCTGTGAATGTCATCAGGTTCATTGTGCATCAGTTCCACAAAATTCAATTACTAAACTAATTATCAGAATGGAATAAACTGAATTTTTTATCTTATACAATCATATTTCTTCTCAAGAGCAAGACAGTGGTCATTGGGCTACCAAAAACTGCGTAGCTTGATAGCAATGTTAAAACTCATTCAATTTCTCAGGGATAATTTCCTCCTCACTTGCTATCAGTGGAGTTTCTTTTGTCTGGTGTCTTGGCTTGGCCAGTGCTGGTGATGCGCAATGCAACGCGTGGTGAAGACGGCCGACCACCACTGCAGCTGCTACTCGATGCTGATTACAAAAAAAAAACTTATTATTTATGACAAATTTTATTGCAATCACTTAATTGTAGGTCAGCGTGTGTTAATCAACAGCTAACTCATTTTAAAGATTGATAAAAAAGTTATCCGGAACACAAATTTTAATTCGTCATTGAATAGCTTCAATATTCCCGCGAGAGATAAATAAATTAGAAACCAATTCTATAGATATCATAAGTTACGGTTTACTGCTTTACAATACTCACAAGATGTTGAGGTAGAGGCAGATGACACTTGCGGTGCAGAAGTAGAAGAGCCTTCACAGCTTCGATCGCAGCCTTCATCACATTGTTCCTCTTCTTCTTTGATCTCTACTTTGAGAGCATCAGGGCCTTTGACGGCACTGCTAGGGGGAGTGCGTCGAGACATTTCAAGCCCAAGCACTTCTGAAGACAAATAAATGATTTATTAGTAATTTAAAAGAGAAATATTAATTTGAAGAGAAATAAAGGATTTCAAGATTTAAGACACGCTTGAAAAAGTTTTTCAAGCAAGTACACACATTTACAGCAATTGAGGAGTTCAGAGATACAAAAGCAAAAATAGCCACAACTATTTGTCAAGTTCATGCTGAAACAAATATGCCAAAATTATCATTACTGAATTATTTTTTAATTTCGTGTAGCTGCAGCAGTAGGTAACATATGCAAAATAAGAAATGTAACTACATGGTATCTAAATAATGCAGTGTATCAATAAGATGAGTTTGCAATGCTAGCTGAAAAAGGTAAATAAAAATCAGTTTCATAAGAAGCACATATAGATATGAATGAAGCTAAACTCACCTGAAGTATCTCTGGCAGACTGCTGTAAAAGAGCCAGAATAACTGGAGACCTACAGACGTCAGCAGGAGTTTGTCCTCGCCTGTTGACTATTGAAGTGCTTGCACCGCTCTCGAGTAACAACTCTACAAGCTGAGAAAACAATGATTAGATTACTAGTTGTTCCTTTGAGAAAAATATTGTACAGAACCCTAGCAAAAACAATTAAATAAAAAATCAAACCCATAAAATAATGTTTAGTAAGTCTATCACACATTAATGAAGGAATAATGATATTCTTAATGTAAATAAGCAATGCAATCAAACGAGTGAACATCTATATGTAACCTGACGAAATAAAACTAAGCTTTTAACATTCCCATTTGAACATAGTAGAGATTTAAAACTGTTATTTAAAAATATTATCTTGTCTGAACTGATGTTTACCAAACATAGCACAGAAGACTTTATTTCGTGACAAAACATGTGCACCACCAAACTATTTAACTCTCACCTTCAGATGGTTGTTGACACAGGCGTCGTGCAGAGGAGTCTCGTTGTCTAGGCCTTTAGCATTGACTGAGGCTCCAGCGTTAATGAGTTCAACTGCTACGGAGACAAAGCCTCGGTTACAGGCCTCATGCAATGCTGTCCAACCTGAATGAATGAATGTTTTTCACATCAGTAATTTGAACACAAATTATGACAAGATGACCTGACTAGTCATGAGGAACATCCAAAACTTGTGGTAACATCAGACCGCATAAATTTCACAATCTGTATATAATGGAACAAAGCCAAAATTAAAATAAATTAATACTGAATGGTAAAGAGTCTCTCAATAAAAGTAGAATGTTCTTTGCTTTAGGGGTAAAGTGAGTAATTTTTACAAAACATCCAAGTTTGATGTAATTTGTTAGCAATAATTCAAGACCAAATTACAATGTATCTTTTGGACACAAATTCATGTAGTTGAGATACAAAATCTATCACTCAATAAAAGTAATGAAATGCTGAAGGCTGGCAGACTACTGCTAAACAAATAATGTAAAACTGAGAAGTAAATTCTAGCCCTCTTAGATAAATGGGTTTGAAGTGATCACTAAAGTGCTTCTAATCTATTTACTTCACATTTTGAAATTTATCCTTTTTTCAAGCATGATACCAATTCTAAATCTTACTTTTTCACAGTAGGGATTGTACTCAATTAACATTCTTCATTAGTGAAGGGTTCTAAGAGACACACATGAAGAGTTCTCATAGGCCATAGCAATTCATGGTTACTTCAAAACTAAGCTAATGACATGCATGAAAATTATTTCATCTTAATTCGGTAAACCTTCTTCAGTCATTTCTTCACTTTATCTTCTAGCTCATATGGCCATACATATAACCTATGAATGAAGCCAAAATCAAAAAAGTTGCTGGACTCTATTACAAGCAGAATATTGGTATAACATTGTGTGCCAAGTTTAATTCAGATTTGCTGAACACAATCATATTACAAGCAGAATATTGGTATAACAATGTGTGCCAAGTTTAATTCAGATTTGCTGAACACAATCAATCACCACTGCAAGCATTGGCAACTATGATTTCTGCATGTTTGAGCCCAATCAATCATCACTGCAAGGATCTGAATCTGCTGCCTGTTTTGACCGTTAAATTGGATTTAAATTCTGGCAGAAGATAGGATGGAGATGCTGAATTTATTACACCAGAGAAGCTGAAGCACAATTATGACAGACAGCCAAAACCTCACAACTTCATACAGTAGCTCCCATTTGTTAATAATTAGATGGGAGATAATTCATCTAGCATGAATTTTGCAGGAGCAAAAATGGTTGAAAATCTCTAGTCAGGGCTTGGAAAGTAGATTACATGCCTGCCACTCAGGCACAGAATTATCTACCTTTTGAGCCTGCCATTTTCAGAACTGCACAATTCTTACTAAATGAACCAGCTCCTATCTAATAGACTAATTGTTAACAAAAATGCACAATCAAGCAGGAAGACTCCAAATGCATTGAAAACTTTGCCTTTGGTGCCTTTGGAGCCACAAGATTTCAGTAATAAGTAGGAAAATTCTGAACCTGTGAGTGTCAATGCCAGGAACCAGATTACCGAACTTACCCCCAATCTATCTTACTTTACAACATTAAACAACTACATACTGTCAAAACCATACATACAATACATTAAATACTATTGACAAACACACAACAATAAAATTTTATTAAAACAATACACTAATATATACTAAATACGTGCCCGCGCACATATCTCT